TGTTAACAATTTTTGCCATCCACGTGAACCATGTTACCCCTCCATTCCTCTTTTGAACTACTGTACCATTTCACCGGAACATATAGCACGCATTATGATGAAAAACAATATTAATTTTAAGCCAGTCCGCTTCACTAATCACAAACAAATTAAAGAACCTTCAAATAACTTGACACGTTAATTTACAAAATGGACAGATCGGATAGAATATTGTATTACGCTATTTACCTTCTAATGGTAATTTAAAAAATTGGCAATTCATTTTAACATATCATTGATGGTTTCAATCTTCTCACAATGAAAATTGATGTTGAATACAAAGTGACGTCTTTTAAAATTGAGTTTGTAACTTTGAATCATGTTTAAAATGCGACTTTGGTGCAAACAAACAAACAACAAACAAAAAGTTTCTAATTTGATGGTCATCATTTGGTCTCACGTGGTCATCATTTGATGGTCAAAATACATTCACAAATTGATAAGGATCGCCGCATTATGAATGTGTTGATACATCAACTGAATTGCCGAGCGTACCGCGTTACAAATACCATATTGTTCTCCAAGTGGAGTTCAGATGTTATGCATTAAGGCTTTGTAAGAGACCGCAGATGTGCTGAATCAGACCACATTGGTACAAGAAGGGAACAGAGCCACCGCAAGAAAGAAACTACTCTCACTCTCGAGAGCTTAAGTTGTTATTGTAAGAAGTCTTTTCGAGAATTCCCCTCTTGAAAGCGAAGACTTCAACGACCGAATAAGCGAGAAACACTTGTAAAGTGGGTTCGGGACACACTTTGTATATTTTCTTATGTAAATAATGATGGGTTCTGATGCTGGAGAGCAGAATGGTTGTTAAGATTTCGAAGAAGATATTTCTAATTATCACTAATTAATTGTAAATAATTTAATACAACGATGGTTTATTTTTCATCTATAGACAATTGAATATGGGTTCGTTATCTTTTTAATTGGGCTACTTAAAAAATATCCACTTGAAATGATATACAGTTCCTGTAGCCAAATAACAATTCGGAAATACTCGTAGTATGATTTGATCATTTTGTTGCCACTTACTCTATCGATTTTGTTACAGTTACGATTTTTTTTACTTTCTCGCAACGGAGTAGAGTATGCAATGCTGCGGGAAGAAAACGGCGAAACTCTTTTATTTCAGAGCCCTGGTAACGAAAATATCGATAAATCTAGTTGCTAAATTTAGAAAAAATTCTCTAGCACGTGCTGTAGCCAGAATACATGTTTTAGGAGTTCTTGATTCTGAAAAATTGAACGACAGCCCGTTCAGTTTAATGGTCTGTCCCGTCCGTGTCGCAATGCTAGTGGCTAAACCGTTCAGCGGATTTCTTCAAAATTGATATTACTCAATCGATCTGCCCGATGTCGCGGCCCCTTGCATTTGAAACCGATATTTTAATTTTGGAAGGTACTTTACATAAAGCCACTGGGACATTTTCCAAATATTCAAAAATTGGCTCCATCATTTTTTATTAAATTTTGTTGTTGTATAGTGTACAGAACGTTTAAGACAATGATGTAGGTCTCATGTTCGTTGAAAACCCTGATTTTTCAATAGTTGAAAAATTCAAAATTTTTTCAGTCTTCCTGTCTTCAGTTTTTCAGTCTAAGATATGAAAGATAGAGATGTTTTTATCTCAATAAAATCTGTTTATTAAAGATAAATTTTGAAATAAGGTCATGAACATTTTTTCGAAAATTTGAATAGTTTCCGCATAATTTTGCGTGAAAATACGAGCGAGAAAGTACGTGCTGTTTTAACACCTCTAGTTGAAGGTTGTCTCACGTATAAACTTCTTCTGTCTACCCGACGTATTTTTTTGTTAAAATATTTATATTCTTTCTAAAATTGAAATATTATTAATTTTGTAATAATGTTCCTAACGGTAGGTATTGATTGAAAGGCTGTTCAAACAAATCTGTTCATAAATGCCGTTCAGAGTTTAATGTTATGTAGTATATTGTAAAGAACCTGCGATGCATGCCGAACCATGTAGTATTTTTCTAAGATACATGAAGGGCGTTTTTCTTTAAAGAACATGCTAACATGTGTTATTGTGATATTTAAGAATATATCTACCTACTGTAATGACTGTGTGGACGGTGAATAAAGAGAGTTCAAAATGTGAACATGCGAAGTGTCTTTTGCTACCACACAATTTTCAGAAGAAATTAAAAATAAAATAGCGAAACTTCAAAATACCATAATATTTATGAGAAATTTTTGAAAGCTCAATTACTGAAAGAAGAAGAGTAGAGAAGACAATAGCAATGTATGAGAGTGCCACAATCTAAATGCAAGATGATTTTACAATAAGTTTACTTTACAAAAGTCTTCTGTTAACATACATATTTAAAGTATTTTATACAATTAAAACGATAACTTTAAAGTTATTTAGTTTTCATATTTCGTGTATTTCAGTATCTGTGTTTTATTGTCGTACGAGTATGTACTTCCGACGATTTGGTATGCTCATATTGATCGTTGTAAAAAGCTTTCCTAAATATTTAAATAAGTTAAATATTTTTGAAAAAAGCATCTGAACCAATTGTTGCGAAATATAGATGATTTTCTCCTTTTAGTAACTTACTCCATTCTACTAAAATACGAAACGTTTCTCGGAGCACCAACAAAGCATCTCAGAAAGTGAAACAACGTCGCGTCATGAGAAAAACAAGATACCTGCGTCCAACCGACTATGAGCTAGTGAAAGGTGAACGATCTTGCTCACGGTACGTGGTCCCGAAAGCAACCGCCTCAAGAATTAGCCTCCCGAACGGGAATACCGCCACAACGGACAGGTGCGGATGGCAACGCGGTGAGCAGAAGCAGCTGCAGGAGGGGCGTCTCGACAGAGCGAACGGTTGATGATTGATTAATTAATTACTAGTGATTCCGGGG